AAGTTATAAGTCTTTCAGTGGGTTATAACCAGGCTTTACCCAGCCCCTTTAAGTAGGTGTCCTCTTGGTTGGTTTGGATGGCGCTGGTGATTTGGAACCGCCTGCCAGCGGAACCCATGAAAAGGCCAACGATGTAAAGGAACCCATAGGGGTGCTGCCAAGACCCTGACAAACGTCAGAGGGCATCAGGATACCCTGTTCGTAGATGGAGGGCTGTGGTTGAACTCACAGGCAGAGTTGAACACTCAAAGTCGTACCTTCCCAAATTTGGATGGGTCTGTTCAAGGAGTTAAGCCAGTATACATGTCGGAAAAATGGGTAGTACCAAGGTAGGTGCATCAGGCCTTCTTGCTTTTCCTTTGGCTTCCTGTCGCAACAATCCCAACAGATTCCCCACACACACACACCTACACCTCTTCGCCACATCTCCCCTTAGCTTGTTGCTCAGCCTTTTGCCCTTGAAAACACTCGACTTGATTTCCAGAAGGAAACAAACACAGTGTGCCCTTGTTTGACTGGTCGACTTGCAAGGGCACCTTCCATTTGGCAAGGCAGAATCAAAGGTGCTCCCCTGTTTTGCTTGGGCCTTTGTTTGTTCTCTTTGCCGCCGACCCCACATTCACCTGAAACCGAAGACACAGTTTGAGAGGAATCTTCTCTTGGACGCCTTTCTAGGGTTCTTTCTGCGCATTTGGATGCGAGCAACCCAAACGTATAGTTTGTCTCTTACAAGTTGCTTGTCAACCTCCTTGCGTGGTTGTCCATGGCACATTCACAGAAACAAGCATCTCGACAAGTCCCGAAACCAAACCACTGCCCTATTGGGAACCCCCAGACTAGTATTGTCTGGGTGTCCCCCCTTAGTGGGGCTTCACTACTTTCCCATGAATAGGACTGGTTTGTTACTCTGGGCCAACATTGCCCCTGTGATTTGATCATCTTTTGGAAAGGCTCGGAGCAACCTTGACATGGAGGGCCGGGAAGAATTGGAGTAGAGGCAGCCCGCAAACGAAGCACCAGAGCCAATTCTGGGCGCCAAACACGGGGACCTAGACAAAATGAATGATGATCCATCCCCTTCAGGTTTCCTTGAGGGACAATGATATTTTGTAATTCTATTTTGCGCCCAGCCCTTCACTCCTAATCGTTGGGACGGGCCCCTTTTGGGTGCCCTTTGCCATCACAAGAGGTGAATCAACGAAGCAAAGGTTCAACAAATCAACACACATGAAGCCAAATTGATGAAAGTCCTCCTCGTAATCGCCAAGTCAGCCCATGCCAAAGTTTACTTGTCGTGCCGCAAGCTGGAAGCTAAGGCCCGGGCAATTCGGATCGCAATCATGATTCCTCGGCCCAGGCGCGGCCGTGGATTTCTATGGGCAAACAGCTTGCAGCTTTGTTTATTTGTTTGAAATGATTCTAGGGTCCCAGTTGCGATTGAACAGAGGGAACTGCCGCAGATCTTCTGGAGCTTCCTTTTGCCTTGCCCACTTCCCAGTTGTAACAAGAAAATGAGACGGTGGAATCCATTGCCTTGGGGTCTACGGGAGGGCCTGTGCACCTAAGCAACGCCTTACTACTGCCTTTACGAGGCTTTGCTTGGATTTCAACTCATACGGCTCTTTTGACAACATATCTTTCAAGGCATTTGCTTCCGGAGGTTGGTGCCGCCAAATAGGCCAAGTATGAATTGCTAAATAACGACACACACGCACACACACACACACAGTTGTCCCCTGACCATGAAGCAAAATGTCATCAGCTCTCCAAACAAAACGTAGTCCCGGCTGGCTTGCAAAGGCACCTGGAAACCTGCCTGAGGCTGACCAGGTGTGCAAAGTGGGACAAAACGTGCGGGAGCATGGGGTCCAGAACTCAGGGATCTCCAAACGATATCTCGAAGCATGGGTTGGGGAACACCCCTGTATGAGATACCAAAGTGAAAACTTTACAACCAATGGCTTGGTGGCAAAAAGCTTTGTTTGTTGCAGCCTCCTACTAAAAATGAACCGAACCAATACACAACTAAACACTTGCCGACTAATCTCCTCCCCCTATTAATGAATGACCCCATTAATAATAAATGCAAATCCGGGGCCTGAGGCCAGATTTCCACTCCGCACAATTGATTTTCCATTGCGCCAATACTAAACCAATACTAAAGTCTTGGAATCCTTATTAGGGGGCACTTTTAGCAAGCTTCCAGCCTCACTTTTAAAAAGGTGGGTTCCTCAATTCCCCAAAAGGTTGCTTCCCCAAAAGCTGGCTTCTCAAAAGGTTGGGTTCTTTTGGTGGGTTCCTCAAAGGTTGTTCTTGACTCTGTTGTCCCTGGCTGTCCCTGACTCCCTGGCTGCGTTTGTCACCTGGCTGCGGTCTGTCTGGTCTGGCTGCCTGGGCAGAGCTCTGTCCTGGGCTTGCCCCAACAAACTACGAAACATCCTTTCTGCCTGGCTGTCCCTTTTTTTGTAGGGGTTATGGGGACCCAAACCACACTTACTCCGCCCTGGCTGCCTTGCCTGCCTGGCTAGCTGCACCCAGCTAGGCTGACTGCTGGCTGCCTTCCTTTCACTGAATGCATGTCTGGCTGTCTTGAAACCCACACTGCCTTCTCGAGCACTGGACTGTCTAGCAGTCAATCACAAGCTGTCTACCTGACCTGCCTGGCTGCGCCCCAAAATGTTTTTTTTTTTTTTTTTTAACTGGGCCCTTTAGTTATTGGGGTGTCCCTCAAAAGAAAACATGTCCCCAAAAGCTGTCTAGCTGCCACTGTCTCTCTCCCGTACATGCTGGCTAATTAACCTGCCTGGCTGCAAACAAACAACCAGTAAACTGGTAAACAAATAGAATGATACATCAAATTTCCTTATTAAACCGCTTACTCGCGGACCTTACAATTCAATCCATTTCCTCCAAATCCTATGTGAACCCTCACATTGGTGGAAAAGCAAAAAAAACAACCCCAAAAACCCCAATTAAATATAGATATATATATATATATATATATATTTGGGTGGATTTATTTATAATAGGGGGGGGGGGCGTATTTAATAATAGGGGGAGCGGATTACAATGAAGGGACTCTCAGGCTTATGACCACTTTGTTCTTTCAGGGCTCCCTTGGCACGTTTCCGCATAACCTCATACAACCACCACACGTTGAGAGATCCTAATCCTCTCTACCACAGGGGTCACTGGATTTCCCTTCAAAAGTTAAACTGATCCCCAGTGACTAACGTTCAGTGAGTTTACATGGAAACCCAACCACTAAACCGACTGAAAAGATCTAAAAAGCCAAAGGAACCGAATGGCTGGGAGCATCCAAGTTGAGGGACCCCTGTATCCTAACCTGCCTTCCCGGAACGGGCCCCATGGGCAACCAAAAAACGAGGCCCCGGCAGGGCCGAGATCGCCAGGTACAGCCCCAAGCCGCGCACGGAGGAATCCGGGGGTGCCACCTCCACCGCGTTCCTCACTTCGGATTCCCGACGGATTCAAGTAAATATGTGGGCTTCTTTTTGAGTTGGCACGAGTGTTTGTGGTTTTCAGGAAAAAAGGAAAACTGAGAGAAACTTGGCTGTTCAACCCAAGTGGGTGTGTCGTTGTTTGAGTTGGTACCCTCCCACCAATTTGCATGGATCCTGACAGGGGGTCCCTTGAGGAAAACTATTTTCCAGACCCCCCTGTCAGGTTTCAGGTGCATTGATGGGAGGGTATCGCTTGCAGTTACCGACAAGACAGTCACCATTTCGGGGTTCAAAAAAAGACGAACCGCTACTGTGAAAATAATGATTTGGGGCCCACAAATGTGATTTGGATTTGGTGTTCTAATTTGCCGGATTTGTGGGCTCCCATCAATCACCCCAATTGATGTGGACTCATGTTCCCATGGTTAAAGAGGAATTGCGCCTCCCAAAGGCGAGCCCCAACAGGAAGTGGTACTAAGTGATAGGCCTTAGTCGCTATTGGCGGCCCTTGACAACCTTAGGACATGTTTCCTTCACGCTTCCTCACTCAACAAGGGCCAGAAAGAGAGAGAGAGAGAGAGAAAGCGACATACCAAGGTGTTCCTTACCCCACGCCCAGGTTTTTGTTTGTGTTTCCAACCCTTTCTTTGGCTGATTTCCGCAATGCATAGAGCGCCCCCAAATCGCGCCGCCGCCCGAGGCGCATGCGGACAGAGCCCACCAGCACTGCCAACTCCTGGGGCGAGACTAATGCGACGTCAGGTACAGATCGCCCATCGACGCGTTTCAGGGCCTATGACAACCGGACCCATGGCTTTCCTTACGATTCCTGGGCTGCCCAAACTCCTCCCCTGCCAAAAGTTTAACGTGGGTTGACTGGACACCCAACCACTAAGCCCTACAGCAAAAACATCAGGCCAGTGAACCATGACCGCCTTCCACCTAAAGGGGCTTTGTGTCCGTGGGCCATATGGTTGTAGTTTTTTTGAGGCTTAAGGTACCCTGTTCAGGTTAAAGGGAAGCTTCAAAAGGAACACCGATCCTTCTCCAGAGCTCGAACATCCCCATTACGAGTGCCCATTTGGGTGCATCTTAAAATAGAAATCAGACCCCCGATGAGATTCGGTCCCTTCAACGCCACCAACAACCAGGCAACCAGTCACCCAAAAGATAGAAACCCGGATCCAGCGACCCGAACGCCCCAAAGAGTTTTCTTGGGTAACCGTTAACCCATAGCATGAATTACACCAAACAAAACGGCTTCTGAAAATTATGCCATTGGTTGTGGTTGACGTGAAAGGAACATTTCGTCTCCAAAGGAAGGGCGCCACTGAAGGCCTGTTGCCCTTTCCAACTCTTCTCACCTAATTGGTGGTTTAGACGGTTTGGTGAATAAGAGGTGGTTTCCCATTTACCTTCTATAAGAACCAGGGGTTCAAATCCCCTAACCAATGCGAACCACCAACCAAGCGCTACCCGACAAACCCGCGACTTTCTCCCCGATGAAAATAACAATCCCGAGCCAGTCGTGGACTGTCAGGGCCCGATCAGACGTGCCGACAAGGTCACGGGGCGCTTTGCCCTAGGATCTTTAATGTCGAGAAGACCGGCTTGCACTCCTTCACGGATGTAGCATGGGAACGGATAGCCACAGCAGTGAAACATCAAGTCGCGCGCGTCCAGAAAGAGGCACAGACCGATCACATAAACTTGAAAGCTCAGAAACTTCTCAGCATAGGCATCAACCCCTGTGGTGGTGTTTGGAGTCCTTGTTAGAAGCCACCACAGCACCGGCGGAAAGGTCACCAAATGGCAAACCCCCAAACCCCTGGTGCACGGGATCTTCTGGTCCAAGGTGCGCACCACACACATGGCAGCCATGCGCGCAGCGAAGATGGCGGCCGCGGGTCGACAGCCCAAAAGGCCAAAGATCAGCCCGCCGATCCACTGGGGGAAGCACATGATGGGCCCCCAAAAGGAGATCAAGGTGCCAGTAACACTGCCGGCCGCGCTGGATTTCTTGAGAAAATCCCGGTGATCATGCACCACGACCACCTGGCTTTCCAAGACCCATATCAGGAGCCGCAAAAACATGGGTGCAAGCGCCTGGGATTGCCTGGGCTCTCGAACTTCCAATGGCTGCTGGCAAGCATGGCTCATGAGATTCTGAAAGGTGCATGCAAAGCAAATACCCTCCCCCCAATTCACTGGGGGGTCCCTTCAAAAGGAAAATGGTCTTGCAGGAGCCCCCCCGCCAGGTTCCATGTTAATTAATGGCAGGGTATGTTGGCTACAGCAACTATGTGGGCTGCGCGTCTCTAAACACAGGCAGCTGATTTCTCTCCAAACACGGTTATGGCTCAAAATTGCCGTTGGGAACCCGAAACAGGTTGGTTGGTTTGGGCCTTGATGCTTATCACCCCATCATCTCATCAGCACAGCGCAGACCCTAAAAATAGGATCACCGGTCCGAGCTGGCCATATGGAGGGCCTACAAGCATCACGCAAAGGGATTTCAATGGGATGATGCTGTAAATTTGTTTGGTTCTTACACCGACTCTAGTTACCTTTCCAGCTTCCTGGTGTCACATCCACACAATTCTATACACCCCAAACTCAAGTTGAGCAAGCACTGGACGTCCAATTGCAACCAGTGACCCTTCTAGAAAAGACGTCGTGTCTTTTTTGGTCTGAGTCTTATGCCGGACGGGTTCCAAAGAACAGCGACATGGTCGATTCATTTCGCAGGTAACAACCCCTGTGTTGAGTTGAATTGGCGGATATTGAGGGTGTCCCTTCTAGAGGGGATCTGGATCACTTTTCGAGGGTGCTCACCCGATTACAAAATCCGCCAGGTTGATTGCCTGGCGTCGACATGAAAGGGATTCCATTAACTCAGTTGCCCGACGGACCCAAGAGAAAAAACAGGTTAACCTGTTGGGGCCATGACAAGAAATGGACCAAACAACTGAAAACCAAAAGGTCAAAAGGCTGGCTTTGGGCAACTGAGTCAAACACACGGAAGATAGCTTTATCAGCACCAGAGACAGGAAAGGCAACCGCATAAGGTTCGGGTTGAGCCCATTCCTCAATGAATGTCTCGGGGTTAGAAGATTTCATGTGGGCAGAAGTCAACCAGTATGTTCAAGTGTCTTTTTGGTAGCTCACATTCGGATCAACCTTTGGAGGGTTCGAACAGGTAGTGTTGATAGCGAGAGCCTACCAAACAACAGGAGTTTATGGGGTTTGGGTTTTTACCAGACTTCATGCGACTGGTCGCAACACTCTGGTCATGGTCACAACCCCCTTAATACGAAGCTTAGTTTGGCTTGTAAAACCCTAGGAGGTTCACGCCTCCAAGTAAGTAGCAAAAACAACATGTTGTTTTGCAGACCCCCTAAAAACCCACAGAACCAACAACACCTACGTACAACAAGCTGAAAAAACACACACACACACACACACACACACACACACACACACACACACACACACACACACACACACACACACACACACACACACACACACACACACAACTGCAAAGAGCAGAGTCTCACTTCGTGAGCGGATAAGTCTGAACTTGCTGTTTGCCACCGAAATGGTCTTCCCGTGGTCTTCCCAAAAAGTGTTGAAAGTCCAGGCACTCAGGGAGTAACACATACAAAGAGCAGAGAGGAACGGATCTTAACATGGCACATGAGCCCAACCTGATTGGTCCTCCACGGAGATCTTTGGCGCATCGGGCAGCACACATTGCACCAGCTTCAGTACGTGCCGGGTGGTCTGCCACGCCTCCTCCGTGAGAGCCTTAATATCGAAGCGCACAAACGGACGCCTCCCTTGTGGCTCGTCGTTTCGCGGCTCGTCTTGCACCCTCGCTTCAAGTTTTGAAGGGGAACCAAAAGGAAAACCATCATTTAGGGGCGACCCATACAAGAGACGCACCGCTCTAGGGAAACCAAAGGGAAACCAAAGTAAACCGTCCAATTCTCTACCCTTGACTGTTTGAAGAATCCTTTAACAGGCTGGCAGTTTTAGGGCTGGTTCTTGAAAAGGTAACCAAAGGTGTCACCACCCGTTTGCTGGCTGCCTTATTGGTAAGGGAAGTTTTGTGGGAGTCACTCTTCTGATTATTTCTGGGCCACCCCTTTCAAGGTAACTTCAAAATCGAATTGGGTTGCTTCATGCGGGGGAGCGTGACTAGGATGTTTAATGAGAACCTCCCCGCAAATGATTGCTGAAAACAATCTTCAGGGTTCACAATCAAAAAAGACATCACTCCCCTGCAAGTCAACATGAAACGCAACAAGGGGGATCCAACGTAAAGGATTCTGATCCTCGCTCCATCAAGCATCACCGTTCAAAAGACATCTGCAGGAGGAGACAGGTTCACACATCACGTTTCACAAAGCAAGTTCACTTGCAAAATGTCCAAAAGGTGATGTGCAAAGGAAGCAAGAGGGAAATCTAAGGATCCTGGGGTGCCGAAATTTCTGCGTCCAGCCGGCCTCACTGAAGTTCATGGTCTGCCACCAAAAGCGGCCGCAAAGGCCCTCAGGTTGCTAGCGCGACAGGTAGGCAATGACCAGGGTGCCATAAATGAGCCGGAAGGGGATACCCTGAAAGGAAACCATAGGGGATGGCTTGTATTGCTCATCCCCCATTCCTTGATGAGAACCAGCAAGCATATTAGGTAACCTGTCGGTATGCTTACCTTGCTTTACATAATGGATAGGTGTAAGCAACATTCCAGTTTTGTTTGGTAAGTTGAAGGGGATGCCCTTGGAAGTATAAGGGGGTGGCAGGGTGATTCTGTCCTTCCGTGCCAAGAAGAATCAAAGGGCACTGACAAAATTTGTGTGCCAACTTGCACCCGTACCCCAGATGGACATACCCCAAGACGAGTGGCCAGACATGGATTATACAGAGTACATACCCCAAAAACAAACACTAAATAAGGCCTTTCGCTGTGGTATGCCCACTTGGGGTGTGTAAGTTGGCGCTTAGATTTACATACAGGCCGAATGCAGGCCGAATGCAGGCCGAATGCAGGCCGAATGCGGTCCGAATGCATAAACCTATGCCTGAAGTAAGGCAATGGGCTTCAAGTTGGCCTCAACATTCGAAACTTGTTGCCTGAGTTCCTCTGATGTGACGGGCCCTTCTGATATTTGTTTTGAGAAGCACACACTCGGAAATGCAATTGCTTCAGAGCCTTTCTGCTAAAATATTGTTGCTGAACTTCTATAACTCGCAGGGGCGTGAGAAACAAAATCCTCGCGGGCGCGATTTAACGCACAATCCGTGCTGTGCGCTGGCTTCACACCCGTGGCCGCATCGCAAAGCGACATCCACCGCGCCTGGGCCAAAGGCAGTGCGGTTTGATCGACCGCAGATCTGGCCAGCAGCTGAATGGCCAGCTGGAAAGCCTTTGGCGCCCCGCCCTCTGGCACGACGCACCGAATCTGGCAAGTTTCTCGGCTTTACGCTGGGAGGGCAGGGACTCCATGTTTCCAGTCGTCTCCATGGAGGATATTAAACCAATGGAGATCTACAAGGGTTGAACTCCCCCACTCCCCCGAATCCACCTTGAACTGGGCTGTTCTCAGATCTCCTGCGAAAAGACTAGCTTGGAGTGGGGAATCAACTAAAAGCAGCTAACACCTAAGGAACCGGACGGCTAACCGCCAAGTTGGCTGTGGCTCAACAACGTGGTAAGTGGAAACAAAGACTAGAACTTGCGTAACCATGGGTCTTGAATTTTGAGCACTCAGTTCATCGGGCGAACATCTCGGTTGGCAAATCCATCGCTTCGATCCTCGCCTCCCCGACGTTGCCCAAGTCTTTGAGAAACTCTGCCAGCTCCTGGGCCTTCAGCAGCTCAGGATGAGCCACCTCACACCTCGGATCTGGCGTTGTTTCTGACCTGTTTTGCAACCCATGTGCCAAACACCCCCCGCAAAACAAACAACAACAACAAAACAACAAACGTGACACTGAGTTTGCTAGGACTGGGGGCGCAAGTTGGTTGACAGGTAGGTGTTGGTTCCCTGATAACTACTCAAATGAAGAGGGGGGTTGGGTCCCTATTCCCTAGTGGTTTGATCATCGTTCCTGAGGCTTGTGCTATGTCAGGGATTGTTAAAATCCCCGCAAAGCCTCGATATGTGTGGGAACTCCCACGAGACCTCAATAATTCCATTTCTTTTTAAACAAATACCCAAAGTCTCATCAACTATGTTTGGCATGGAAACTACCAAATCCCGGTATTTTTGATTGTCAAAAACATCGAACATCTTGAAAATTATCGATGCTTTTTTGGGAATGACAATGTTGGGGAAGTGCAAGCACACTCGATAATGTTTGGGAATTCCCAAACATATCGAATTGATTTTCGGATTTTCAGTCCCCGACATAGTTGCTGAGACTTTCGGAGTTTTGGAATCTTGGAATTCTAAAGCAAGTTCGATTTTATTTTGGAATCTGGCAATTACTGAGTTTGCTTGGAAGTTTTACTAAACGGGTATTGCCTCCTACCAACCTTGATTTGGGCTTGGGCTTATGCCTGCCTTGTTTGGGTTTGCCACTGCCTAATTTGTTTAATGATCGGACCTTTGTATGCCCCAACACAGTTAGACAGTAGACATGTATACACCCCCTTAGTTGTAGCCTTTTTCAAGGACTTCAAAAAAATCAGCGCTCACAGTGGCTCACAGCGCTGATTTCAGTTCAACATAGCGGTTCCCTTGTTGGATGGATTTTGTCAGGAAGCAAGAAAAACACGAACTGAAGGGGTTCCTAGTTTGCTTAAAACTCCTTGCCAAGTGGCAGGTGCCAAGGCGCGGCTTCCTTAGCTTCCACATAAAACTCTGACCAGGGTCGGGGCCAAAGTTACCAAAAGCCTGCGCGCATTTCTTGAGCACATCAGCTTTCCCCAGACCCCCGCTGGCCATGAGAACAAGGGCACTCTATGTTTTTGGGCCGGGCACGAAGCCACCGAAGTCATGCAAACTCCTGCATTTTGAACCTGAGGCCTGGCTTTCCCAACATGTTGCAAGCTCGCCCAATGCCCATGCGCGCGTTCTTCCTGT